TATGAAAGTGTTACTATTGGTATTAATAGACAATAGTAAATTGGATTAGGCCACTAATCTTCTTATAAGCTTGAAAATATTGATGTACACATATATATAAGATTTTCAAAATTTTATAGTAAATTATTTTATTTTTATTTGAAAGCCCTCATAAACTGTGTTTTGACAAATAATGTATCTTATGAATATATGTGTGTTTGTGTGTATATTCCTTTTGTATGTGTATGCTCAGTATGTTGCTAATGATATATTAGTTTGGTATTGTGTTGTGCATCTAGTTGGAGTGTATTGTTCCTACTTGTTAAACTAATTTAAAATCAACAATCTAAGGCATACCATTATGTAACTTCATATTCTCATGTCATAATGAATTATTTTGAAATAATCTTAATGTTGAATAATGAATAGAATCCATATATATAGGAAAGAGTCAATTGGTTTAATGATAAGCATTACATTAGAGAGTAAGAACCTATTTCAGCTTGTTTACACCCATAAGATGATATTAAATAGTATTCAATGAATATATACATATGTGTGTATGTTAGATACAGTACCGAACTTCATGTATATCTTATATGACTGCTTTGCTACTAGAACATTACTGAATGTTTGAATTAAAAAAAAATCTTTAAAGATGAGTTAAAAAAAAATTGTGAACTAGAGAATTTTTTGTGCAAATAAAAGAAAGAGACATTCTTTAAATTATAATTTGCTCAGTATTTTTTTTAATCAAAATTCCTTCTTTTTTCATGAATATTTTATTCAGGAAGTTATAGAAAATTATTTGAAAATATTACAAAAATATTGGGGGAATAATAGTAAATAATGATTATAGGTGTGAGTTTGTTTTTAACATACATCTGTTTCGATGAGAAAGATGAAGTTGTATTGAAAATGGCATGCATAGTGTTAATTGTTTCTAATTATATTTTGAAATAGTAATATAAATTACTATAGTCAAACATTTTGATTAAACTCTAAGATTTGTTTCCTGAGAAATTAGAGGATAGGAATTATTTATGATTTTAATGGATGTTTAGGATTGTGTATGTATGAAAAGTTTTATAAAATATTAATATGAGTTATAGATCAATTCATGAATTATGAAAAGCTATTAGTGAATAAAAATAATGTTTGGAATCTTTATAAGAAAATTGAGTTTTTTTTTAATGAAAATTTTAGTATAAATATGAATAGAACAAAGAATGAATTATTAAACCTTAGAAACACTGTTACAATATAAGTGTGACATTTCTACTCTTTTTTTTATTATTTTATTTTCATAGTTGCTGGAGTTTATATAAATGTCGTTGTAATTTTTGTTCTTTTAGTAAGAAAAAAAGAAAGAGTTTCAATGAATTGATTATAACATGTAATGGTATAATCTTGCATGTTATAAACTAATGTGTTTTGTGCAAAAAAAAAAAAAAGAGAAGCTAAAACATATATATATTTACTATTTAGGAAGGGGCATTTACACCTAAGGTATAAGGTAATTGTCTCTATATGTGGATGCAAAACAATTTATTTGCATGAAATTAACATAAATAAGTGGGAAAAAAAAAAGAGATAGAGTAAATTGGCTGAGATTTTTGACAAAATAGTAGAGTTGGTAATCAAAAATGCATGACTCTTAAGATTTCTTTTAAAAATAAAAAAAAACTAGAGATAAAAAGATAATAGTTAGATTAGAAAGTTATGAATAAATGAGAATAAAAGTTGTAAGTGAGAGTAACGTAATGAAATTGTGGTTCAAGAATTTTAGGGAATATATATGTATATGACATCTATGTGTGGGGATACAAATGCGAAAGTTAAACAACAAAATTATATATCCTAGAGATAAAATGTATATATATGAGATAGTGAATGGCATGATAAACTTATTTGGAACCTAAATTTTGAGGACAAAATTTCTTTTAGGAGGGAAGAATTGTAACATCATAATTTTCATATATCTAATATTTAAAGAAATTTTTTTATAGAATAGGTAGAGGTTAAATATACATATATGTAATTAAAATAATTCTGATTTTATGTGTGTGTGTGTGTGTATGAGAAAATGAATAAAATAACGATGTTAAGAAGTCCCACATTGATCAAATGATAGGAAGTGGATAAAATAGCAATGTTAAGAAGTCCCACATCGACTAATCTTTAAAATGAAGGAGTTTGAAGAGCCTATATATTGGAGATAGTGAGTGAAGCTTGAAGTGAGTAAATAATTTTCGCACATATCTGAGGTAGTCTCAGAAAAGTGCTAGTTTTGAGTTTATTAACCGTTGGATCAGATTGAAATTTGGTCAGCCCATTTGGGACATCCAAATCGTTAATTTCAACGGTTGGATCATCATTTTGATCTTCGAGTTACAAGTTATTAAGTACGTTTTTAACTTATATCTTTTGGATTTAGCATATAGAGTCCTGAATAGTAAATTAATATTTTAAAGTTCATTCACCGTTAGATTGAGCTATGTTATTATATTCTTCCCCTTTCAATCTATTGTAAAGAAAATTTATCTTTTGTTATTTACTCCCTCCAATTCAGGATATAATATAAAATTTATCTCCTTATTTATCAAGAAATTAGTTAAAATCAGTTTAAAATAATAAATATATAAGACATGTTTTTTCCCCCTAAATATGCCCTTACTAATAAAAAAAATAAGTAAAAGACATAATAAATGAATTAAAAAGGAAAGAAAATATGTGTGAGCAAAATTGGAAAAACTTATTAAATGCCTAGACAAAAATAAATATTATCTTATTAAGAAAACCAAACCCCTCTAACAAAGTTTAGGTTATATTTTGAAATGGAGGAAGTATTTTTAAAAATATTATTTTTCTTATATATGAATTAGACAATAAAATATAAGATTCAAGTATTTAATGTTGACAATTTTACTACAATACTGATTGCACATAAAAATTTTCAGTAAACCTACCTATAATATTATTCTCCTTGATAAAACATCAATGTTTAGTTTCAAAGAAACCTGAAAAATGCAGCCACAATTATTGTGTCATTAAAATAATTAAATTCACAAAGATAGAGAACAAATAGGTTGAATGTCAGCATGAAGATAACGTATATTACATAAATCAGATGTTAATAAATTCTGTAAATAATTTGTTTATGAAACTCTATTTCCGTTTTTCCTAATAGCGTTTGTAGAGCCCCTATAATATCAGTATCATAATATTAACTATCAATTAGGTAGCCATTCAACTGCTTAACCTGACCCGTTTTGACATCGTCGGGTATTACATCGGGTATTACAAGATTTTATATATAAAGTAGATTACAATCAAATCTCAAAGAAAAAAATAATTACTAAAAAATCTCAATAATAATTTAAGCAGCTTATAATAATGAGTTTCAGAGTAAAAAATGACAACCTTTGAGACTTATTTTACAATTTTTTGGCTTCCTTCAGACCACATTATAATTTTCCCATAAGTATTTTCAACTTATCTTTTGAGTTTCAAAAGCTAAATTAAAAAATACACACACACAAGTTAATAGTAATTGTTAAAGTTCAAATAAAATTGCTTTTAATCAAACATTCTTATTCGTTCAAAGCATTCAGCATTGTCCTTTCTACCAAGATGCACTTAAATAATTTACCATGTCAAATGCATTATAATATTTTGCTCATTCATTGTGAGGAAATTGTTGAAAAATCTCTCATTGTAATATTTATGGGCCCAAGGTACCTAAAATTTATTCAAGAATTCTAGTGCAACCTATCTTTGCGGTTATGACTCAGTTGTATGCAGTGCACACAGGTTTTTTTTTTTTTTTTTTGCCAACAAGACATATGCACGAGTTACGCCCACTCAAGGACCTAAGACGCCTTCAGACAATAAATTTTGCAATAATATATTTTCAGCAATTTTCTCTTTATTGTGCACGACGATCTAAGTTTGATACAAATAAATCATGTTTTAATATTTTTTTTCTGGGTTTTATAATATTCTCTATTTGCTTTAATTTCTAATACCATTCCTCATTTCCATTCTAAAGTTTTCTATATTAGATTTGTGAGACAATTAATTCCCAAATTTTTATAGTTTCATCTTATCTTTTTTCTTTTTTAATCAGGTTCTCCCCCCCCCCTTTTCTTTTTATCAAATTCTTACAGTTTTTCAATTATAAGCATTGATCCTTATGTCAATAATCTATTAGCTGTGGCTTCTATAGATGCTGATTGAATGACAAATAAGTTACCCCATGCTATAAAATTAATTTTTTTAAAATAAAATAATGGAATAAAATTTATCTATTATCAACATAATAAACATTATTAGTAAGTATAGGAGTCAATGCCTATAATTAAGGAACTATAAAGTATAAAGACCTAAAAAATAGAAAAATATAAAAAATGCTTAAAAATCAGATAAAGTTATAAGGATTTACATATTTATTTTTGTTTCCTATATTGCTTAAACAATTATATGTAAAGATGCTAAAGCAACAATTAAAATCCGACCGGCTAATCAGATTATAGAAGTACCTAAAAAAGAGAGAGAGAGAGAGAGAGAGTCAAAAACACAAGAAACACAAGTAGAAAAGTCAATCCGACCGGCTAATCAGACCGGCTAATAGCTCTTTTCTTACGTGATTAAAGAAAATAGTCATAAACACTATTTTTTCGTCACCATATATTAAAAAAAATGAGTAAAAACATCTGGATATCGCAAATATTGCAAGTCATCACAATCTTTGTTGATTAAAAAAGGATCGTGCCTCCTCCTTTTCCTCCTTTTTGTTTGCCAAGACAGTGCTTTCTTGTTAGAGGCTAACCGAAACTTAATATACAATATTATATTTGATATGGGGAAAAGAAGAAGAAGCTAGAATTGCATACGTTAGACGAAGGGAGTTCTGATTAGCTTTCAATGGAGTACACACCAATGGTGGTCAGAACATGCGATCATAGCTCCTCAAATTTATTAATTTTTTTGTAATTTGTACTAGTACTTGGGGATGCACATAAATAAATGATCTTATGCAATACATTATAATATTTATATGTCCATTGTCTACAGTCTAGAAGCACTAAGTATGCTTAAATTATTGAGGTATCATAATATCCTCTTGGCTTTATGCCTAAGATCATTCTTCCTCTTTCCTTATAAAATTCCCCATGTTAGATACTTCCAATAATTATGAAAAGATGCAAAAGCAACTGTCAAGATCCCTCACCAACTAATCAAATCATTGAAGAGAGAGCAAACAACCAAGGGAAAAAAATAACAGAGAGAAAATGCAGTATTATTTGGTGACAACAACAGGAAATTCTTCACTGCACAGTTGTGTGTGTGTGTGTGTAGAGAGAGACAGAGAGAGAGAGAGAGAGAGCTTTACCGTACTTCATCTTGGCCTTATCAGTTGAGTTGGTCTGAGGCAGCTTCACTGCACAATATTAAATTACAGATGAGCTATACTTTACAGGAATCAGTTCCAAATCATATTTTTTCTTCACAGACATGCCAAAGGATTCACTCATGTCTAGATCTTCAGGATTTTCCCCATTAGGCATCTTCCAATCAAAATGGAACAGCAAATTTGCAAGTGAGAGTTCAACATTAGCAACACCAAATGTTACGCCAGGACACATCCTTCTTCCAGCGCCAAATGGAATGAGCTGAAAATCTGCTCCTTTGAAGTCCACTGACCTATCAACGAATCTTTCTGGGTAAAATTTCTCAGATTCAAACCAATACTCAGGATTCCTCCCTATTGCCCATACATTAACCATCACCTTGCTTTTAGGGAGAATCTCATACCCGTTAATCTCACATCTCTCCCTGCATTCCCTTGGGAGTAACAGTGGAACTGGAGGGTGCAGACGCAATGTTTCTTTGATGACTGACTTCAAGTACTTCAGTTCATGAATACTTGCTTCATCTACAGAACCTTTTCCTTCATAGACCTTTCTTACCTCAGATTGTGCTTTCTCCATCTCCCTTGGGTTTTTTATCAGCTCTGCCATTGCCCACTCTATGGTTTTTGATGAAGTCCCACTTCCAGCACTAAATATGTCCTGTAAGATATACTATCATTAAAAGAATTTCAACAATTGCTTGTAGCGGTAGCTTCTACTTCCTGATCATACCAACTTGAATTGACAAAAAGATAGTTTCAAATTCAGGAGTCTAAAACAGATTTTCACTTGAATCTTTTGCAGCAACTTTTACATAAATCACATAGAACTGCGCTTTTACATGATCACTAAATGGTTAAGCACAAGTTCATTTTTAACATCTAATCATTCTATTTAAGTCTTTCCTTATCTGCCTGCATTTAACAGTAGTCAAACAAAGAGAAAAAAGGTATTTCTACAAAAAATAAGAAGCATGGATACAATCAATGACTTTACAGTGGGACATTATTTCAAGTATCACGCCATATTAAAAGAAACCATTAAGAATGAATATGGTTCCTATATGTAATACATTTCTCAAAAACTGCCAGTCAATTTATCTTTGAAACTTTTTCCCTCCACTTTGGTGCCAAATATGTAAGGATATTCATAATGGCAAGATTCTAACCAAGATGGTTGCTTTGATCATTTCATCAGACAGAGGATGTTCAGGGTTGTTCTGCTTCTGCAGCTTCAACAGAATATCAACTATATCTTCTTCTTTTTCATAGTTTTTTTCTGTTTGTGCATCTCTGCCCTGGTGATCGCTTACAATGCTTCCAAGTATCCTGTCCATTTCTCGATGAACCTTCTCAGCCTTGGACCTCAGACCTGTCAAAACTTGAAGAACTCCAATGGATGGATACAAATCAGCCAGAGAGAACCCTCCCACTAACTTCAAAGTTTCCTTCATGAGTCCTATATAAGCTTCTTGATCTTTAGATTTCGCACCAAAGGCTATTCTAGCGGTCATGGCATAGGCCATTGAATTAATCTTCTTGGTAAGATTGATCACTGACACTTCACTCAAAGCTATTTCCTTGACAAGTTCTGAAACCTCTTCTTCACGAATGGGTCGAAAAGATTCCACACGCTTCGGCGTTAGGAGCTCAGACGTGGAAATCTTCCTCATCTGCCTCCAGTAACTCCCATATGGAGAGAAGCTCATGCTCTTGGAGCCATAAGTGATGATATCTGCAGCAAGAACAAAAGGCCTATTTGCAAAGATGATATCATGGGTCTTCATCACTTCTTTGGCCATTTCAGGCGAAGATACCTGTTGCAGAATCAAGATAGAGCATTCACAGTAATACAGTTATTCGGTTGTAAAGCTCAAAAGGCTTTACATATCAAGAACAGCACAGGAACAAACAAATATTGATGGTAAAACTCTAAATCCCATATGGAAAACGATAAGAAATCGAATCAATCAGAATGGAAATATGGGTGAATACCACTATGGCTGAAAGTCCTCCAAGCTTTAGATGCATGAGAGACCCATATTGCTTTGCCCATTTCGCTAGGGTTTGATGAGGCATGGCTCCAATCTGGTGCATATTACCAAGGATGGGTACCTTAGGTGGCCCAGGAGGCAACTTTGAGTTTGAATTTTTTGTTTTCGATCTCCAGGATATGTAAACTACCATTAACAAGAAGAGGAAGAAGGAAAAGATTGCAGAAGATGAAGGAATTTGGAGCTCCCACTCCATTGTTGGGTTGGAAAAGAAGCTTCAGATTACTTCAATAAAGATGAGCGTTTACTAAGCTTAGGATAAGCAATTCGTGGAGATTTGGACTCCAATAAAGAAACCGAAGCTTGTGCAAGTGACAATGACATTTTGTGGAAAATTGGACATAGATGGACGTTTCGTTCGGTTGCCGCCGAGGGAAAACAAACGCCGTCCTCCGGCGTCAATTTGTGGTCCATTCGGTGACGCAGTCACGAGCATGAGACTATCAATGGATGGAGACTGTTTTTTTTTTTTCTTTTTTCTTTTTTGGCCAAAGGTATTTGCAGCCCGAGGCAATCTTATTTGAATCTTTATTCATCGTACTAAGAGAAACTAACTCTTTTTGTTATACCCAATAGGCGGAGACTGCTGAATATTCTCTTTTATTTCCATGGAGGCGGATTATTGTGGAGTTCAGGTGCCTATGCCGCCGTCTCTTATGATCTTCTATTAGTACGGATGCTTACTATAAAATTTAGGGAGTATTTGGCTCAATAGAAGGGATGAGATAGGAGGAGGGAGATTTTAATGAAGAAAAAAAAAATAAAACAATAAGGAAAAATTTTAATATTATTTTGTTTGAATTAATATGAGAGGATGGGAGAAGAATTTTAATGTTACCTTGTTTGTTTTAAAAAGAAAGGGTAGGCAAAATATTTTTGTATAGACAATTTTACCTTTACATCATGTAAGTTGATTTTTACAAACTTTATAGAGTAATTAATAAAATATAATTATAAATAATATTTAATATATAAGATCAAATTTTTATAATTAATAAAATTAAATAAATATAATGATAATACATAATTAATAGCTACTATATATCTAATAACTATAATTGTATTTATATCCAAAATCTGGTCTAATAAAGTAAATATGTTTAATTTGAGTATATTTTTTCATCTTTTATTTTCTCTATATTGTTGATATGAGTAGTTAATAACTTTTTCAAAAATAATATAGATCACTTATTTGTATGTTTTTGTTTTGAATACTTGATTTGCATTTGGAAATTAAAATATATTTGATAGTAATTTTTTTTTATATTTGATAGCATATAAATGAGGAAAGAGAGACATTATTGAATCTATAAATATACCAAATCACATAAAATTCGGCACTGAAGGGTAACATTGGATTATTAAAAAGTAATATAAGTATATTAGTTAACACAAGTCAAAATATTATTCTTTCCTTCCAAAATCCCCAATTTTGGATGGGACGCTTATGAGGAGAGAGTTTTCCCTCCTCTTCTAAAATTTTTATCCCATCAAACAAGGAAAAATAATTAAATTTCTCCTCTTCCCTTTCCTTCCCTCCAAATCCTTCAAAACAAACAGACCGTCAGTCTCTGAACTCTAATTCTACGATATTAAGGACATCAAGGAATACAAATTAATTTAAAGGGAAAATCATCATAAAAGAACATGGAAAATCACAAATCATGCAATGATTCTCCTAATGTGCATAATTATAGAATTCATGTAAAATTCTAAATTGAAATTTTGAAATAAAAAAAGGACAAAAATACTTCTTATTAACTACTCTCAAATTGGTTTTAGCATTTTAGATTAACAATTTCAGTGAAGTGAATATTTTTTAATAAATTTTGTTCAGATTTTACATTGAGTTAAATTTCAGGGATAATTACAAATAAAGACCCTCAATTATAAAATTATGGTTAGGGATCATTAAATTTTTAACACAGAATTTTAAATTTCTATGAATTGCTTATCAGAAGTTGTCATTTGTCTTACTAAACTTATTATTCACCTTACTGAATTTGTCAGGAATTGTTTATCAGAACTTGTCATTTGTTAAAGAAATCTGAAAATTTTGTTATTTTAACACATAAATTTTAAATTCCCATGAATTACTTATCAAAAATTGTTATTCGTCTTATTAAAATTGTCATTCGCCAAGAAATTGTGTACATTTATTTTATTTAAATTCCTATAACACAGAATTGTCATTAATTCCTATAAATTGTTTATCAGAAATTGTCATTCATCTTACTGAACTTGTCATTCGCCTTACTGAACTTGTTATGAATTGCTTATCAGAACTTGTCATTTGCTAAAAAAATCTGAAAATTCTATCATTTTAACACAGAAAGTCAAATTTTTATAAATTGCTTATCAGAAGTTGTTATTTGCCTTGCTAAACTTCTTATTTGCCTTATTGAACTTGTCATGAAGTGGGTATCAAAACTTGTCAATTTGCTATTTTCGATTATGAATACAAATTGAAAATCAAAATAAAAATCCAGATTTTTTGGGTGTTGTCTCAGCACCAAACAATTATCGCACACATTGCAAGCAAATATTATAAGCATTGTAAATAACTGTCACTCTCCCTCAAACTCCCCAACTCTCCTCTCCTTCCATAACAATAGAGATAATAATGGAAGAGATTTCATTGTCGACGAAAGAACAGCTAAGCAAGATAAGAAGAAAGTGACGGGGGATGACAATGAAGAGAGGATTGCTGAAGGACATTATGAGTTATATATGCTTTGGGAAGGAGTAAAGAGAAAGAAGAAATCTGGAGAGAAAAGATCCAAAGAAAAAAGAGAATGAAGAGAGAGAGGAAAAGAATAAAGAAGGAGAAGGAAATTTGGAGAGAAAGAAAGAGAGAGAAAAGAAGGAGGGCATTTTAGACATTTCATGATCATTTCATAGTTGCAATTTGGAATCAAGTCCTCTGAAGCTATTTTTCAAATTTAGGGTCCATACTCGCAATTTTATATATTGGGGTCTTTATTTGTAATTGTCTCTAAAATTTATTATTGTGTTTGGATTTTATTTATTTTCTAAACTTCATCATATGAACCAATGTTGGATCGATGGTATAATAATTGAATAAAATGTCAAACAATATTATATATGTGTGATATATGTCAAAAAAATAAAATATCAAATTGTTAAATAATTTTGATAAATTATTAAATATATCAATTTTATGGTTTCATAAGCAATTCAACCTATTAAAATTAAAATAATATAGTATCCTATTTTACAATACTTAGTTTTAATGTAAATCAAGGTAACTAGAAAATGTTGACGACATGTTTTATACGTAAAAAGAATAAAAATCAAAATTAGAAGTAAAATGTCAAAAGTCTTTTCAGGTCACGTTTTACTTATAGTCTGCAAATTTTAAAGCTATTTTTCCTTCCCTCCGTGAGCCGAGCACACTTCGCTTGAATTAAATTACTTTTTTCTTCGCACAGAGAATGGGGAAAGAAAATGCCACTGGTAGGTTTTTTTTTTTGTCATTTCATTAATTTTTGCTTTTAATGTTGTAATTTTCATCTCTTTTTCTCCCTTCTTCATCCTTACTCTTTCTGCTATAATACTACCAGTCGCCCATGAAGAAAGTTGAACAAAGAAGAAAATGGATCAGGTGAGAGAAATAGATGAAGCCCATATGTCCGTCCAGATTTTTTAAACCGCTCCAAGTTTCGGTTTCCGGCTCAACTGCCCGTTCAAGACGGCTCAAAGCGGTTTAATTCTCTGAACAGTCCAAACTCCTAGACCAAGCCAAAACAGGTGGTGACCGGATCGTTCCGGGTGAGGTTTGAAAACTTTGACATGAAAAATTCTTTAATAAGGGGGTGTTTGGATAATCTCAAACTATGGTTTGGAGAATAGCTTCTAGAAAATAGATTTTGGAGAGAATAGATTTTAAAAGAATAGATTTTCTGAAAAAGTGATTCTGATAAAGTGGGAGTGTTTGGATAGTTGTTGTCAGAAGTAATTTTTTATATGTTGAAATTACTAAAAAGGACATAGGTTTAAATGATAATTACATATAACATATATTTCATAATATATGTTTATTTGAAGTAATAAATTTGTTAATAATATATTTTGGCAACATAATAAATAAGACATAAATAATATAAATAATAAATAATTAATGTGTATATATATAAAATAATTACATATATTTTCAGAAAATAATTTATTTTGCCAATAAAAATATTATTATTTATTAAGATTTTAAAATGAAATCCCATAATTTTTAGAGGAATAGGAGAAGGGCGATGGAATGGGAGAGAAGAAATGGGAGAAGAGACGTTCGAACAGGAAAAGAGGGACTTTTTCACTGTTGGGAGTTTTTTAACTCCTCAGAAACGACCCGCGTGATGCTTCAGCACAAACCAAGGTTTGCAAGCTCAAAACCATGGTTTTGCTGGAAACCATGGTTTTTTTAAAAAAAAAAAGAGGTGTTTGGCAAATATTTTCTCAAACCATGGTTTGGAAAAAAACCCAAACACCCCCTAAGTTTTACCCGTTTCAATTTTTTTTTTGGTGTACCTGTTTCGAACCATTATTAGAGTTTTTGTCTTTTTCATTATTAATTTTATTTTACCATGACTGATTCTTTTTCTTTAGTTTGCTATTCTTCTGCCATTAAATGTATCTCAGAGTACTCACTATATATATATATATATTTTCCCCCAAAGAAATATTTTTATTACTAAAGAAAACTGAACAACAGACTTAAGAAAACACAGAACAAATATTCAAAAAAACACTAGGGCTATTAACAAAACAACAGTCTCAAAAAAAGAAACATACAGACCCCCAAAAAAAATACAGACTAAGAAAGAAGCAAATAAAAGCAAAACAAAAACCACAAAAATACAACAAAGGCTTAAGCTAGACTAGCCGACACCTCTTCGTATAACAGTAGGACTATTAACACCAGGAGGAGTAAAACTAGAATCTGCAACATTAGACATATGACCAAGTAACCTTGACAGTTGACACCAAATCCCTACAACTATTTGTGTCACTTAATAAAATTTCAGCTAAGAGAGGCGTTGCCGGCAAAAGCCAACCTTTTTCCCAAAACCTTTTTCTCGCTACATTTATCTAAGTGAAAATCCTGAACTAATTCTTGCCTTGCATCCCTCCAATATGATGTCTGCTCATCGAAATGGCCACGTGGCAACACCAGGCGCGTACAAATGCTCTGACGTTTATTTAATTTTATTTGTGTAACGATTATTCCCCACTCTATTTGTTCTCGTTATGGCCTTTTGATTGGTGTATAAGTTAAGCCCACTACCTTAGTTGATAAATAATTATTAATATTTACGTCTCATTAAATTATTATGAAGAGCAAGGAATTCTTTAAAGCAATATAATTCAAATAATCTGTTGGCAAAAAAAATATAATTCAAATAATCTGCTTCAAAATAAATTCCTTACATCGTATAGTTTACAGCACTCAAACGGATACATTTTATCAAATTATGTAGTCAGTGAAGGTAATTAAATTTCAAAAAAAAAAAAAATCAAGATTCATTGATAACACATCATATATAATTTGCAAAATATTTTATGCATAAACGATTTTCATAAAAATTATTAAAATTGAAACCATGTGTCCATTTGCAATTGATAACATTATTTCCCGCAATTTTGCGGAATATCGAAAAAAGAGAGGACAGGGAATTAAGCATTGAGAAGATGACACAAAAAGAACCCTAAAAATACTAAATCCTAATTTGCAAAGCTAACATTTCAATGAATTCATAATATCTCAAAACCAAGAAAAACTACATTTTTAAATTAAATAAAAATAACAGAAATGGCCATCATTTAAGGCAAAAGGTTCTCAACCTCCTCGGCGAGACCTTGCTGGCAGGAGGATTTTCTTGGAAAAGAGGATGGAGGTGGGATTTGATTCTACCACCATTTATGGGAAAATTAAATATGACAATTAAGCCACCAATACTTTAATATCAAAAAGGGTCTGATTGATTGATGATAGAAAAAATAACTTATTTTCAATCCAATTTTTTAAAAAAATTGGATTAGATAATGTAATTTATGTTTAGATTGATTTTTACAAAAATTAATTTGTAAAGTAGAAACGTTGCTTGAATAATGATTGAATAAATAAGTTTATTTTTTAGAATGATTAAAATGAGTATAACTTTTATTAAATAATAAAAAATATTTAAAAATATGAATTTACATAATATGATAATTTTCAATTATTATAATAGGAAAAATTTATATTTAACAAATAAAATATATTTAAATTAGAAATCATAGTAATGTGAACATTTTTAAATTAAGTATTATTACATAATTAATTGGATGTTATACTCTACACAATTTATATAAATATAAAATATAACATAATATTAAAAATTAAAAATACTATAAAAACTATGTTTAAAATTATTTTCATTTAAGAAAATATTAAAAATAAATAACTAAAAACTGATTGAAATATTAAAAATAACTAACTAAAAACTGATTGAAAAGTACAAAGAATATGCAAAGAAAAGTATAAGAAGAATATAAACATACGGGCAAAAATGTCTTTTGATTCCAAAAAACCACTTTTACATAAGTTATAAGTAAGTTTTAGATATTTTTGCAATCATACTCAAAAAAACAACTTTTAACCTATAAGTCAAATGAGCCAAAAGTAAAATCAAACACAATCAAAATTGCCCAATCTAACTTTTGGTCAAGAAGTAGCTCATAAGTCATTTTATAAGCTGAACCAAACAGACACAAAATACGGAAAAATCTTAAAGCTTCTTTCAGCTGCTTTAATCTCTTTAAGTTCTGTACAGCCAAAAAAAAAAAAAACTATTCAAGTTTTGAAAAATCTATTTCTTTGAACTTGTCTTGACTTCAGCTGGCTAGTACCCTTTACAAGACTACTCCGTTTTTCAGCAGTTCAGAAGATAAATGAAGGCCCACTTCCACATGATGAGCATGTTCTGCATCCAATGTTTCAAACCGACATGTCTTGATGAATTTGTACAAAAGAAAATGCCAATCAAGAGACTCGTATGTGTATGGAATCTACACCCTTGTGCAAGTATAAGTTCAGGATGAGACATTTTGATGCAGTGTAGAGTAATATAACCCTGACAGTATTTGCAGTCAAAAGCTCTAACACAAAAGTTTCCAACTTCCCATATGTGGTTTGTTTGGCACTTTGATGTAATTAAGTTTCAGTTGGCAATAAATCCGGCGAAGAAAGCGATGGTGATTATGATGATAAAGACTTCATTGAAGACGGTGAAGTTGATAATGACCATAGAGAACTGAAATACCGCAGAATTCATCAAAGTGTCTGCGTAAAGATTTTTTTTTTTTTTTAATTACAATGGAACTTAACAATGAACTTGCGCTATTTCTGATAGTAAGGAGAGTTCTACCATCATAACACACTTTGTTGCAATTTAAGTTAATTGTTAGTCTCTCAGAATTTACAGGTGTTGAAGTGGAAGTTAAGTGCTTTCTGGTATAGATCATCAAGTGCCTTCATCAAGAGGTAAAGTGCACAGAGCTCTGCTTTTCATTAATGCACAAGGCCTTTAATGTTGATGTCATTTTCTCCATGTTTACTGGAATAAATAGGGAATTAAAGCGTAAGTTAAACTGAGACATATAATGAAATGTTCTAATGTTTATAATAGTTACAACTTGAACATCTTTGAATATCTAACTCTAAACTTGTGGTTCACATGTAGCTTTGACAGATATAAGAAGTATACTTTTCACATTTAGAACTTGAACATCTAACTCTGAACTTGACAAATAGAAGAAGTAAACTTTTCACATTTGGCAACGTGTCTGCTTTTATTTTGTTGTTCTGTGCAATGAATTTTAGTGAAGATGACCTTCTTGTGAATGCTACAATCTGAGCCATTGGTCTCCATTTATGAAGTTTCTGTCCAGAAAAGGCCTTGCTTCCTCAAAAGTGAAAGATTTTGACCATGGAACTCTTCCACTTCTATCTGCTCCTTTTCCTTGGCACTGAAACTCTCCAAAAAGTGCAGTCCTGAGACATCACATTGCATCCATTGAGTATTACATTTGAACTAGTAATGCAAAAAAAATGAGATTTGAGAAGGCTTAATAGTTTAGTTTAATTTATACTTCTTTCTGGAAGGGTGATTCCATTCAGTCCATCCTTGTGGGATTATAATGTCATCCATATGACAGCTTGAATATATGATTCTTGAGTAGTCTCCCCATGCTCTCCCAAGGTAGACCTTACCAGTTCCTTGGATTGAACAGCCTACAAAAGAAAAGCCTGTTTCTTCACTGGGCGTATCCCTGTGATGAGCTGCAATTGCTCCATAGCTATCAGCTGTCGACTTGAGACGGCAATCCTAGTAAGCAAATACCAACCCCAAGCGTCAGAATCATGTATACTGATATGCAAGTAGATCCTTTGCACTAGCATGTTATAAGCCCCACACAGAAGCTTCACAAGTAAAGCGTTTTTATAAAATTAAGGAGCTCAACCATTGGTCTTTTAGGACATGCTCAGTATTAAAGCTCGACATAGTTGAAGAAAACTTATAGGGGATCTGTATACAAGGCATAGTACAAAGATTTGTGTCGAAATGACATAAACTGACCTCATAGAGTGATTTTGCACTGCCACAAATGAAGTCAATTTTTCCTTGGATGAAGCATTTGAGAAAATAATGAGTTCCTGTGTTATCCAAAAGAGTGTCTTGTGTTCCCAAGATTCTAACTTGGTAGAACATGGCTCTGTCACTGTCTACCCTCAAAGCTACCCCTTGCATTCCATGTCCACCAGCCTCTGCAACTACAGAGTTCTGCAACCAACCCCACAAAAAAATTTAATAAATTTCAATCTTTTTCGCAGTATTACTGTCAGTCTGGTAACATAAAGGTTAATTTTTTTCACCTCGAAAGTGATCCTATTTGCACAGAAGTAATTAGATTCTACTGCCACAGTTGCTGAACCGTAAGTCCCTAATTCTTGGCCATTTGACCCAATGTCTGATGACTTGCTGTTCCAAGTAATCACCACACCATGCGTTTGATTTCTTTTCCCTATGAATGAGACATATGGCTTGTTCTTTGGTACAAACACCTTTTCTCTGCATTTTTACAAAAAAGCAAAAAAATTAAGAAAACAAAGAACCAGCCAACCAGCCAAACCAGCTTTGTTTTACCCACATCATACTAATGGCAGTAACCACAGAAATGCTTTCCTTGTTTGAGATTTCTGCATCAATTCAGTACCTGAGAATATCGTCTTCAGGGGACTCAATTATGTTTTTGTTCTATATATTATAGATCTTTGGGTTTGACGAATAAAATGAAGAAGAAACCGAAAGAGATAAAAGGGTTCTTGGCTGACCTGTAAGTTCCAGGGGAAATGTATATCTTCACCCTCTGTGAGTTCTGATCTGGCACCATATCCACAGCCCCTTGAACTGTAGATGAATCGCCATTTCCATTCTGGTCAACCACAATAACCTGTACATCACTTTTAGATTTTGAAGCTAAGCCATTCTCGTCCACCGTCAAATCATCCCAAGTAATGTAACCTCTCACATTCATTGACCCATTTTTACCACTTTCTGCTGCTAACAAACCCACAAAGGAAATTACCAAACCAAGCAAAGCTAAAACTCTGTATTCTGATGACAATCCCATCATCGTCACCTTCTTCTTCTTCTACTACTGCTACCTCTGAATCTCACAGATCATGAAGATGTGGCAAGCTCAAATCGAAAAACTTGGGGGGAGGGGGGAGGTTTTATATATATATATATATATATATATATATGAAGTAACGTATAGTTTGGAGGTGAAGCGTTTTGGTGATGAGGACTTGAAGTGAATCTTATTATGGAATGAAACACAAAGAAAGAGACGTTCAAATTACAAGTAAGAAAATGGAATGCGAAGATGGGGTTTGAGATTTATTGAAGGGACATTAAAAGACTGTGAGATTGTGGGGTTCGAGTTTTGGGTTTCTGATGATTGAAGCAGAAAGAGCGTTTTGTTGTTAGCAAGAGATGCTTTAAAAGTTGATCATAAAGAAGAAGAAGGTGGGTGCTATTTATAAGTTGAGACTTTTCACAGAAGTTGGTAACAAAAAGTGCGGCAGCAAAATGGTTATGAAATGCTTTGCTTGCTCCGAATAATTATTTTCTTCTTTGGCGTTTTAAATGTCTCATTAAATTCTTATAATCTCTTCGACTACGACTCAACAATCATGTGCTGCTTTTTTTTTAAAAAAAAAAAAAATCTAAATGTTCTTTGGAAAAAAGAATCGAGTAATAAAGTCAATGTTAAATTAAGCGGTGCTGCAATTGTACCTTGAAAAATATTACGTTTTATAAAGGACTAAATTATGCAAAAACCTCCTGACCTTTGAAACTTACCAATAAAGCTCCTTAAACTTTTATATTTTTGCAGATCATTCTCATACTATAATTTTTTTGTTCATTATTTATCTATAGATGACTTTAAAATATAAGGACTTTGTCTCCGTATAATTGAAAGTTTGGGAGGTAATATACATACAACAACAAAACTTAAGGGGAATTGAAATTAATTATTATTAAATTTCAAAGGTTAATAAATTTATTTGTATATTGTCCTAAATTCATCAAGTTTTATGTAATTTAGCTTTTATCATGAATATTGGAAGGTATTAATTAAGATAGTATTTTTAATATTGAAGTTGCTTCACATTTCACAATATAATTAACAATAGTTTCATGACGCTAGAAAATATCAGTCAATGAAAAAGACGTTCAACATATATTTTAATATTTGAAATGGGTTTTGGCCAGAAAAATATCAAGTCGAAAAAATACTTTAATTTAAAGGTTAAGAAATTTATTTGTACATTGTCCTAAGTAATGTACTTAATTTAAAAGTTTTCAAGGTCGGCAATATGCATATAAATCTTTTAAATTATATGCTCTCCTTTTAAATCCTTTTCTTTCTTTCCTTTTTTTTTTTTTGGCGCGCGTATAGGCCCTTTAAAGCTTTGATTTATATGCATATAAACCCCTTAAACTTTAATATATGTGCTAATTAATGAATAATGAATAAAATTACTAATCAAAGAGTTATCTGCATAAATGTAAGCGTTTAAAGGGTTGCATAAATCCCAACCATCAAAATTTATGGATGTCATATATATACCTAACATAAAGTTGAGGAGAATTATGTATATATGATTTTATATGTCAAATTTTAAAAGGTTTTAAATCATATCATTTAGCACATTACATTCCATCCTTATCATCTAATCTTTTTGGTTACTTCTTATTTTTATATGAAATATCCTTGTAAGAATTATATTTCATCTCTCCTTTTTATCTTCCATTCCTTTACACTCTATGCACCAAACTTATGTTTATAAATGTTTGGTAGGAAGACAAAAAGCTTGTATGTATTAGAGAAGCTATTGCAATATGTCCCTAGAAAAAAATATTTTTATTATTTATCTAATGGAGATTGTGTTAGATTATTGATTATATTTATAATACATTTTTTTATTAATTTATTATTTTTTATCAAACATAATTATATTTTTTGTTTTATATTTATACCATGTCCAACATAAATTATTCCATCCTATTTTTATTTTCTCTTATCGTTTTATGGCGTGTACCAATTGAATCGTTTTATTTGGTGTATGTGTTTGTGCATATCTTTTGGTTTGGATATTTGCCTATAATATGCCAAATCCTTTGGATGGAACGGATATTGATGATAAAGTCAGCGGCCATTTGAGGCAAAAGGCATAAATAAGAAGTGCTCATGAATGTGCCTCAAAGTCTTCTTCTCATGATCATTTTTTTCTTCACACGAGTACTCTTCATATATGGATATTATTGAATAATTTTGGTCGAGAAAGAAATTGAGAGAGATGATAAGATATTGTCATTTAATTAAAGACATTTGAGAAAATGATTGGATAGTGTTAAGAAAATTAACTAATTTTAAATAATTTTTTAAATTTATATAAATTAGTGAAATGCAACATATAAATATCAATAAAATGGTAGTACAAATTTCACTATAAACCAGATCTTATATTTAAAATCAGAAGAAGTATATTGTTGTTGAGAAAATACACACATTTCCTCTTATCTTAAATATAGAAGCCGAAGCCAATTAAGTACAGGTAAGTTTAGTTTCAAAACATAAATATAGACATTTATTTAATTTATCTCTCACATTTATACAAGACATTTATTTATTTTAGTTCTAAATATAAGATATTTATTTTTATCTCTCAAATATATTAATTTTTTTAAAAATATTCCTATTGATTATACAAAACAATGGAGTTCCATCAAAGAGTAATTACAATGTACGTACATAATTACGTAAAAAGTATTCTAGAAATATCAGCCCATATTTATTACAAATCACTATTTTAACCAATTTTTTTAATATCCACAAAATTAATTATCTAGTTTTTAAATTAAGAACCGGATGGAGTCCTTACATTTAATATCAAAAGGACTGAATGATGATGATATGGACCACATATGCTTTGAGGGAGCACGTAATGGAGGACGTATAAAATGATCGTTTTCTTGTTTTAGGCGAGGAGACATCACACAAATACAAATAAGGAGTTTTGTACCATCCTATGTATCATCGTAATCATATTCAAAGGCCTTGAGTTGAATTTTGCGGCTTGTAATGATTTAGTTATAGGGGGATACGTTTCCCCTCCACCCTCTAATCCAAGTCTTTAATATGTACATGTGTTTTTTAATGTTTGGTCCTGCCCCAGCTTTGATCTAACTTCAATCTTATCTTTTTTTTTTTAAAAAAAAACAAATTGGCTTGGGTTAGTTAAGAAATGCATTTGAATGGGATAAGGAGGAAGATTGGCAGCTAGAGTGCTCCAAAAAAATATTATCTATTTATCACACCATAGATTAAGAAGAATGTTTGGGTTTTAGATTTGTTGCCATGCTTAGATTCGTAAAATGCTCAAATCTAATGTATGCAGGGAACTGATATTGTCAATATAACCTTGTAATTTAGTGACATGAAAACCTTTTTAGAAGTGAAAAATCGTGAGTTTGATATTCTACTCATAATTAACCACATACTATTAGTATGTCCTTTTAATTCAAAAGTAAAAAAAGGAGATGAATTTAACCAATTCAAGTTAACTTGGGTGGTGATAGCTTTTGTCCATTACTAAAGCAATTAATTAGAAATTCAACCAAACTCTTGTGTATGTAACAAAACTTATAGTTGAAAAAGTTTTATCATTTGCCTTTAGAATATATTTGGTATGAAAAAAATTGAGCGTAAAATTTTTTTTAATGAGGTTGATTTAAAAAAATGAAGTATTGGGGTAAAAGCTTTGATTTTTCTTTTTTACAGGTTTTTTATTAAAATTTTATAATCCTATTTTTAATTTTTCTTTAAAAAAAAAACTCATTAAAAAAATTTTCATTCCCTTTTATTTGAACAAAGAAGATAATTTCCACTATTAGGGAGATCTAATCTTTATGCCAGAGAGAGGTGAATTTATGAGAATTAAAATAAAAATATAAATTTTCTGAACCTTATAAAAGCAGTTATCTGGAAAATCAAAATATGCTTTTGCATGGAGGTCTCTTTGATTGAGAAGTGTCTGAGGGATTAAGTTCGGTCCTCTCTGCACATACCACAAAGACACAGTAATGATGAATAAATCTTGGGATCTTCATTCCTTTTAACTGACATTTTACTTCATCTTTGGGTTTTGATTTGATTTAATCAAAAGGGTTTAATTAATAAATGTTAAAGGATTTGGTCAACATCACAAAAATTAGAGCCAGCTCAAATTGCAGAAAGAAAAAAACAAATTCGTTACAAACTACTCTTAATCCTCAATTAGGATTTCTTGTTTTTTTTGTTTGTCCTTATATAAAGTGAAATTGAGATACAATAACTTGATGACATTAACGTTTCAAAAAGAAACAAAGATTCAACTTCAATGTCCTTTTCTTTTATGTTGGATTAAGATAAGGGAATTTGTTATATTAATGGTTAATCAAAATCTTAATAGTAAAATGGTTTTATAATTTAATATTTATATACAAAAATAATTTTAATTTTTGAACAAATTTTAATGATTTTTTAATTATATCTTTCTATTACTATTACTAACATAAATCGTATAAATTTAGATTATATAGTTACATTAAATTTAATAGATTAATGAATAATTTTAACAATATGATCTAAATTAAAAATATAAGTGAAATTATAAAATAAACACATATTGTTAGATTAAAGTGCATTATTGTCTCAAAAATACTCTCCAAGGAGCTATAATCATCATAAATTAGTGAAGTAATTTATGATAATGATATGATTTTTGAAAATCAGGGTAATGTTATTTTTTAAGTAGTCAGCATTGCCTTTAATTTTGGTATAATTTTAATAGTCAATATTGAATTAACTAATTAGGATACTTTTTTTTAACCAAACACTTAAAGTTAAAAAAGGAAAACATTGCATCAAATTTAACAAATCGCGTGCATAATATTTTCTTTTGGGTTGCCTATGACTCCATCAGAAATATACGAGGTTTAAATGTTCTTATCAGTTTTTAATTCTATTTTTTTGTGTGTGTGTGTATATATATATATATATATATATATATATATATTATGAACGGCATATTCTCTGGACTATTTCCGTAGAATGTGGACTCTGGCTGTAGTCTGTCTATTAACGGGTAAATGATACAATTTTAACAATACCAATGGCTAGTCTTTTTACATTATACAGAACAAAATGTTCAAATCTTTACTTCAAATAGGATTATCTCCAATAAAACGTAGAAAAAAACCATATAAATTGAAAAATTGAATGACATTATAAAATTATGTTAAGTACTGTTAACATATTAAATTTAATTTTTAAAAATAGCAATGATCAGTAGAAAAAGATAATTATTTGAGACTAATTTAATCGGGTTTAGAGAAACTGAAAATTTATTTTATATAATTAAGAAATCTTATACAAAATTAGAAGATTAAAGTTGCACTTTATTTTCCCCCGGAGCAAACAATATTTTTTTGGGTACAAAACAATTTACTTTTTCGGCACACAAAACAATTGTTGATCAATTATTCATTCTCAAGTCTGTTTCTGGGGAACTAGGACTTTGGCCCATATTAGAGGCCCATTTGAACATATTTGGGCCCATTATTCCTCGATCAGGCCCATTATTAGAATCCCGTTTGAACATGTTTGGGACATTGTTTCTGGCGAAGGAATTCACAATACAGTAGACAGCAGTATGCCTTTTATTTTTAAAAACATATTTAAAAAAAAAACTGTTGTGGATAACTCAGTTGGGAGAGCCAAGAGGGCATTGCCTATCACTTCACTGGCAAGGCTGAGGGGAAAGCAGAATTAAGAAGAGCTTCAATGGCTGTTTCTTCCATATCTTCTTCGACATTAGTCCCTTCTCTTTCACTCCTCTCATCGTCTTCGTTGAATTCGAAGGCAAACTTCTCCTTTTCCTTCTTCCACGCTGGTACTAACACCTTTAAGCTTCAAAGCTCAAAGCCTCTGCTATCTTCAACTAGGGTTTATGCTGCTCCCGAAGTATTGGATTCCCCAGATTCCGCTGAAGTTTCTCAACAAACCCCAGATGACTCCGACTCCTCCACCCTTGAGGTTCATATATTAATGCCTTTGTTTCCGTTTATCATGTGTTTCCCTGGTATTGAGTTTACCTTTTGCGAATTTCGATGAGGAATTTGAATTTCCTGATTAAAATTTTAAATTGAGGAATTCAATGTTCTTTTCAAGCCTTGTGTCTGCAAACCTGTGGATATTATAGTTACCCTATCGATTCCAGTATCTTGCTTATGAGAAATCTTAGTAACGGGTACATAAGATGGACTTAAAACATTATCATGTTTTCTACTGGAGAATAAAGTGAAATTTGGATGTCAAGTGGGTAGTGGCATGGTGTTCCAATAATGTCTTCATGTTTCAGGTTGGAGACTTGGGGAGTCCAAGCACCTCGTCTCTTAGCATTGGTGCAGATGCAGATGCGGTATGTTCATCAATAACTTGTGCTCTGTCTGAAAATTGGGTTTGATAAATCAGCCAGTTGCTAAATTAAATAACATAGTTCCTTTAGCACCTCACATAGAGTGGTCTGACCAATGATTTTTCACTGCTTTAGTGCTCGACATTAGGTATTAGAATTTCATGAGATGGTTGTGTCAAATAATATAGTAAAAAATAGTTGTATATCTAAACAAAATATACTGTTTATGCTGTCAAAGTCTGAAATGCCAAGCTGGTACTGTTTGTTAACCTGAAGCTGTGATCTGCTTCAGGTCAAGATGAGTGTGAAATTGAAATTTTACCATGATTTGGAGCTCACTGAACCAACTCTAACCAGAAACTAGTATATATTTATCTTAAAACTTAGTTTTATAGTGTATTTTGAAATATACAATTTATTCTCTTTTATCACATCTTTTGTGGGTTTAAGTTCACTTAGATTGTTATTATTTTAATAATTGTTCTTATGACTCTATAAGTAGCCGTAGAGGTAGTCATTTGTTAGAATTCTGCCTATTGAATAAAGTTTGAGATTATTTGCCACCTACTGTTCCTGCAGTTTCTCTCCATTTCTCCCTCCTCCTTTCCCCCGCTTGTCCTACATCATAAGGTTCTGAAGATTTGTTTGAACATTGAAGCATTGCTTTCTTTTTAATGTTGCTAACCACCAATTTTAATAATATTAAGGCCTAGCTTTCAGTTTCTGCTACAGTTTTACAAAAGTCAGATAATTTTATTAATTTGTTTGTTTCCATTCTCAGATGGCACCAAAGCAGAAGATTAGAATCAAACTTAGATCTTATTGGGTTCCCCTGATAGAGGATTCATGCAAGCAGATAATGGATGCAGCAAAAAGTACCAATGCAAAAACCATGGGTCCTGTACCATTGCCAACTAAGAAACGAATCTACTGTGTTCTTAAATCTCCGCATGTGAACAAGGATGCCCGGTTCCATTTTGAGATAAGAACCCATCAGCGTCTCATTGATATTCTATATCCTACTGCCCAAACAATAGATTCTTTGATGCAACTTGATCTTCCTGCTGGTGTTGATGTGGAGGTCAAACTTTAAGGATATCTACTTCTGGAGGTTGTTGATCATATTGCACTCTAGGTGAGCTTCATTCATCTACTCATTGTTAGAAATTATGCATCATTGATGAAGGGGTGTGTGTGTATGTGTGCTCGCGCGTGTATTTTACACCCTTGATCTTGACCTCTATAATTGGAAAATAAAATAATCCCTTTTGTTTTTCCTTTCTGCCTGCTTTGGCACGGACATTTCTATGCATATACAATTATTTTTATTTCTGGTATAATGAGCAATGGTGTCCTAAGCTAGTGCTTACAAGGTTTACTTTGTCAATATGAAAGCTGATTGCAGCGTTCCCCTCTATCCTTACTTTGAAATGAAGCTACAATAATATAGTCAGACCTTCTGATTCTTTTATAAACAAAATTGTGCAGCCTTCTAGTCCAGATTTGAGCCAAATTGGGCTCCAATTAGGGGGAAGCTCTCTTAACATAATCTTTTTCTTATCCAGAAGGTTTGAATTTGAAATCTTGCTTAAAGTGTTTGAGTCTTCTACCACCCAATCCAATCAAGCTTGGCAAGTATCAGCTGCGGTTTTAGATTATGACCTGTCCCAATCATCCATGCCTGATTTCCCCCTGTTGAACTCTATTTATATAATGTTGTAGAAAGGTTATTCATTAAACATCAATAAAATTTAATCTTACCTTTGGCTGAAATGTTTTCAATCCCTTATTGCCTGGACCTGTTAATGTGGTTTTGTATGCATTTCATTGCTTTCTAACCTCTAGTAAAAGGGTTGATTTCATATAGTTTTGCTTCACTCCTCTAAATATCCATCTTTTGCTGTGAAACAAGTCTTAGAATACTCTTGTACACTAAGCGAGTCTGTTTTATTCTAACTTAAAGCTTTGGTCATAAGCCCACATAAACGTCTTCGTCAATTATGGCATTCTTTGCTGATATTTTTACATTTGATGGCAATCTATCTTATTGACTTTCTGGCCATTATTGATTTTTTTTTTCCCCTTTTCCTTGCATATTTATATTCTCTAAAGGAGTTTAACTTTTCATGGGAACACTTTTTTTGGCAGAGAAGAGGACATCCTTTCCAAATTAGGTTGAGTTTAACTGCAGGAACATGTGTGTTGAGCAGTATAAAAATTCGTAGATCATCCACATCAACGGCGAAGCATAATGAGAAGTCGAGTGGAATATTGATTTTGAATGAAACCACCACGGCAATACTCTTTTCCGTTTTCATTCGTTATGTATATTTTCAGTGATTCTCCTTCAGTTGTATTAGTTATATGTCATTGAAGTTTAGTGTATTATGTTGATGGTGAGCTAAATGTGAGGCATACAAGTGCATGTGCTCTCTGCTGTTTATGAATACCATTTTAGTTTTCCAGGTTCTACTGGTAGCTCCAGCTGGATTCACCGATGAAGTACTTGCATTAATCCCAACTAAAGTCGTAGATTAGAGTTTAGAGGCTTGTTTTCCCTTTTTTTTTTTTTAATGCCCCATGTGGAATTTATGTATCCTCCGGATGGGATGATCCTATGTTTCTGTTGTTGAATTACAGTTCACACCGTATGAACAGTAACATCTCATTCCCATTGATGGATAACACAACCCAGGCGACTATATTGGCAACAAAACTGAGTTGTGACAGGGATTGTGGGGAATAGTGCATAAAAGAAAATCAATTTTGAATTGAATCCCCCCCAAAATTTTGGGGAGAATCGTGGGATTTTTTTTTTTAAAAAAGAAAATGATATGGCTAGTATGTGAATCAAAACAGGAAAGACATGACAAGATACCAAGAAGCAATTTTATCTTATTAAGTGAGGTTGACTATATAAAATGCAACATGTTATTGTATTCTATTAATAATCCAAGTCTTTGCATGGGTTGTTATTTAGAAAGTCTTGTTTAATAATCTCATTGAGCATATGTCTCAATTTTTCTCTATTTTTTTTTAAATGACTTTAATATGTTTGATCTATCTTTTTCACTGATGTCTTGATGTAGAACAAGAAAGGATTGGAAGGGATGAGAAGTCAGAGAAGACGAAGAAGAAGAGAGGAGGAGCAGAGAAGCAGGGAGAATGGGAGAAAAACTGATAGATGAATTCCAAATGTCAAGTCTGGTTACAAACTGAAACCCTAAACTATAAATAAAGGAAAGAAATAAAATAAATAAAAGAAATAAAATGAGGGGAGTGGGGAAGTGGGGTGAGTGGAGTAACTACTCACGATCTAAAATACATAAATAATTAACAAAATAAACAATAATAAAAATAATTAGTTAAATTAAATGTGCATCATTTCTCCCCGGGTTGGAAGAACTCGCCACTGGAGAGTTGGAGAGCTGGAAGTCATCAAGGAAGGCGGGGTCTATATGACGGAATTCGTCCTCGGTGAGCCACGTGGCGTCTGCATCATTGCAGACTTTCCAACGAACAAGGTAACGACTAATGGGACCTGTTGGAGTGGATATTGTCTGCTCATTCATCACGGCGTCAATGGCTTGGGTGGGTGGCGCAACCTTAGGCAACGGTGGAGTTGGGGCTTGGTGGGTCAGGGTACCTACAGCATCATCAGAAAACAAAGGGGGCGGCTCGAAAGTGCCCCCGATAAGGAACAAGATCCTCAATATTAAATACTGGACTGATAGCCATATCTGGAGGTAACTCTAATAAATATGCATTAGGCCCTAACTTCTTGGAAATGCAAAATGGGCCAGAGGAACGGGCATGCAGCTTCTTGTAAGGCCTCTTTGGGAAACGCTCAGGCCGTATGCGGGCCATGACAAGGTCGCCAACATCAAACTCCTGGTGACGTTGATGGACATCGGCAGCTATCTTATACCTGTCATTATTTAAAGTTAACTTACGCCTAACCTCAACATAAATATCGTGAAGGCGATGTGTAAAGGTCTCGGCGGACTCAGAAGGGCGAGCAGACAGGGGAAGGGGAACAAGGTCAATAGGCTGCTTTGGGTTGTAACCTTGAACAATTTGGAATGGGCTTTTGCCAGTGGATCTATTGACTGAGTTATTGTAAGCAAATTCAGCTATAGGCAAGACTAAATCCCAGTTACTAGGCTTATCACCAACTAAACTACGGAGCACGTCACCTAAGCTACGGTTAGTTACTTCAGTCTGTCCATCAGTCTGAGGGTGGAAAGCAGACGAGAATTTCAGTTGTATCCCGAAGAGCTTCCAAAGGGTCTTCCAGAAGTAGCTGACAAACTTGACATCCCTATCATAGAAAATAGTAGTAGGCCAACCGTGAAGACGCACAACCTCTCGAAAGAAAAGCTTTGCCAGATGTGAGGCATCGGTAGTCCTACTGCACGGAATGAAATGTGCCATCTTTGAGAATCTATCAACCACAACTAAGACAGAGTCGTGCCCCCTCACTATCTTAGGCAACCCAAGCACGAAATCCATGCTAATGTCCTTCTAAGGTGCCTCAGGAATAGGAAGAGGCGTGTATAATCCAATATTCCTCTTCTTTTGCTAGGCCGTATGGCACGTACGACACTAGGAAAGGATTCGAGCAACATCACGCTTAAGGGAAGGCCAATAGAACGTATCTTCAACCAGGGCTGTTGTCTTTTGAACGCCAAAGTGTCTGGCTAACCCTCCCGCATGCAATTCCCAAACGAGAAAATCGCGTAGTGATGTGCGGGGAATGCACAATCTCGACCCACGGAACAGGTAGCCATCATCAATAAGGAAATCCACATGATCGTGGCGGTTGCCATCTTTAACCTTGTTATAAATGATGCCAAAGTCAGGACACGAGGTGTACTCATCCTTGAGCCTATCAAAGCCCACGACACTAACCGTCAGAGTGTTGAGGACATGGATTCTTCGGCTAAGAGCGTCAGCTACTTTGTTCTCTACCCCTGGGCAGTGCTTGACCATGAAGGTAAATTCCTGAATGAATTCACTCCACTTGGCATGTTTGGCATTCAAGTGCCGTTGGGAGCTAAGGAACTTGAGAGACTGGTGGTTTGAGTAGATGACAAACTGTTGGGGAAGGAAATAGTACTTCCAATGCTCCAAAGAGCGAACAATGACGTAGAACTCCTTGTCGTACGTGAAGTTATTTTGCTTGGCCTCATTGAGCTTCTCACTGAAGTAGGTGACGGGGTGGCCTTCTTGGCTTAGAACGCCTCCAATCCCAACCCCGGATGCGTCGCAAGCAACTTCAAAGCACTTGTTGAAAGCAAGTAAAGCCAGGATGGGAGCACTCGAGAGTTTCTTCTTAATAGTGCTGAAAGCTGTGGAGGCCGCGGAAGTCCAATTGAACTTATCCTTCTTCAGGCAGTCAGTAATTGGAGACATAAGTGTGCTAAAGTCTCTGATGAAACGCCGATAGAAGGATGCAAGCCCATGGAAGCTGCGTGCTTCATGTAGTGTCTGTGGTTCTGGCCAATCTTGGATAGCTCGGACTTTTACAGGGTGTGCAGATAAGCCCTGTTTTGAGACGATGAATCCGAGAAACGTAACTTGATTCTGTAGGAAGGAGCACTTTGGCAAGTTGAGATAAAACTTCTTCTTCCGAAGGGTCAAAAGCACCTGTCTAAGGTGGTGCAAGTGGTCATCTCTGGACTTACTAAAGACCAGAATGTCATCAAAGTAGACAACCACGAACTTTCCTAGATAAGACTGCAGCATATGCGTCATCGCTCGCATGAATGTGCTCGGGGCATTTGTTAAGCCAAATGGCATAACGAGCCACTCGTACAGTCCATCTTGCATTTTAAACGCAGTTTTCCACTCATCTCCTGGTTTGATTCGAATCTGATGGTAACCACTGCGAAGATCAAGCTTGGAGAACCATTTAGATCCAGACACTAAATCAAGTATGTCCTCTAACCTTAGTATCGGAAATCTGTACTTGACAATTATCTTGTTGATAGCTCGGCTATCAACACACATTCTCCACGAGCCGTCTTTCTTCGAAGTCAGAAGGGCAGGGACAGCATAAGGACTGAGGCTATGCTGGATATAGCCCTTCTCAAGTAAGCCGTTAACCTGACGATTGAGCTCTTCCCGGTCTTTAGGGTTCATCCCGTAGTGTGGAAGGTTGGGGAGCTGTGATCCTGGAACCAAATCGATTGCATGCTCGGTGTTCCTCATGGGTGGCAAGTTAGGAGGTAACTCCTTAGGTGCAACATCTTTAAACTCGTCCAAGAGTTGGGTCACTTCTTTTGGAAGGCTATCAGGTGTTGGTGCAGAAGGAGAGAGGACTTTGGAAACAACGGCAAGGATGACATCAACCTCTCTACTTTCTTCGATGAACTGCTTCTCTCTAAGGAGGTGAAGGTTGATAGGCTTAGAGGTGGATCCTTTCGTGGGGGCTGGACCCTTTGCTTTAGGCTTAGGCTTCGCAGGACGAAGTAAGATGGTCTTGCCCTCATACTTAAAGATGTGGTTCTTTGCTCGACCTTGGATAGTGACATCATGGTCATATAGCCACGGGCATCCTAAAAGCATGTGAGACACATCCATAGGGATCACGACACACAAAACATCTTCCTTGTAGTCGCCCAAATGGAGTGGGACACGACATTGCTCAGTGATAAGCAATGAAGTGTTGTTGACCCATACAACTCTGAAAGGCTTAGCAATTTGCTCTATCTTAAGTCCAAGGTGAGCAACACCTTGACTAGATATCACGTTCCTTTCACTTCCACTATCAATAACCAACTTGCATGACTTATCACCGCACTTCACGAAGGTGTGGAAGATGCTGTTCTGTTTCCATGAGTCATCTGGCGTTGGGACAGTCAGGAGGCATCGCATCACTCTAAGATGACCTGATGGCATGCCATCACAATTAATTTCTTCGTCCACATCAGAAGGAATATCGACAGGGTCGATGATGACATCTGGCTCGCTCTTGAGTAGTGCATCATCTTGAGATTCGATAAGCAACGCACGTTGCGAGCACTTTGAAGCGATGTGTCCCTTAGAGTGACACTTGAAACACTCTATCGATGAGCTACCTGTGCGAGTGTTTGAGGCTGATGACTCTCTTGGTCTAGAAGTGCTTGGCCCTGAAAGTTGTTGACTTACCCGTTGATTGGCCAAAACAGTAGAGCTACGTGTTGGACGAGACTCTAATCCAGAGAAGTTGGGACGCCTGAAGGAGGGATACTTAGGTAGGGAGTCAATGTCGATAGCCTTATGATATGCTTCTTCTAAAGTGTAAGGACGGTTTACTCTAAGCTCCCTCTGTATGTCATCCCTAAGGCCGCTGATGAACCTCTCAATAACCACAAAACTCGATTCATTTAAGTCATTGCGGATCAGAAGGTCATCGTATCGAGAGACGTAGTCGGCTGCCGATGAGGTTCCCTGCTTGAGGCTATTCAATTGGTTGAAAAGCGTGCTTAAGTGACTGACCAGCACGTACTTTTCCTTAAGCTTCAACTTCATCTCCTCCCAAGTAGTGACAAGAGGTTGCCCTAAGCGTTCAAGGTTCGCTTGGATGTACTGCCAATACTTCCTTGCAGATCCTACGAGCTTTATCTTGGTAAAACGAACGCACTATATGTCACTCATATTGTACCACTTGAAGTAGTCGTCCATGGTGGCTAACTAATCGAGGAAGGCATTCGCGTCTAAAAGACCATCAAAGTCAAGTGCCTCAACTTTAACCCTCTTTGTCGCATCATCATTGTAGTCTTGCCGAGGGGTGTCTCGGTATCGTCTGGGCAGCCACGGGTCTCGTCCATACCTAGGGCGCGCGGCATATCCTCCATAGGTTCGTCGGTTCACAACATGGGATTCGTAGTGAGCCTCTGTCCCCTGCTCATCCCATGGGTTGTCCTCTTCCTCGAACTGTGGGGGAAGGGTCTCAACGTGTAGCGTTTTAGTCTGCAAGTTTCGCGAACCTATAGGCAGTTCGGAGCCTCTAGTGTGAGATGGTCCAACGGTGTTGGGCTTAAGCTGCGCTTGATTGATCTTAGGGACATTTCCAAGAATCCCTTCTGCACCCTTACTAGAGACCTGCCTATTAATTCTTAGGAGAGAATCTCTAATTTCTTGCTGGTAGGTCCTAAGCTCTTGATTAGATACCTTAAGCTCCTAGGTAGTGGCTCTAAGCTCTTGATATTAGGAGTTATATTCTTGCTTAACCTCGGCCAATGATTCCTTAAGGCATTTAGTGATTTCATTCAGTTTCAATTCAAAAGCTTGAAGTCTCTGGTCCATTTAGGATTGAAGGGAGCTGATACGAGGTTCTAGGGATTGCAGTGCTAGGTCTAAGGTGTCTTGTCTATTTTCAATATCACGAATTGTCATGCAATAGCTAGGCAAAAATTAACAGCAAATAATGAAGCAAGTAAGAAGCTACTAAAATGAAAATAAATTCTTCTTTTTCTCTCTCTTTTTTTTCTTTTTTCCCCTCTTTTTTTCCTCTCTCTTTTTTTTCCTTCTCTCTCTCTCTTAAGCTACTAAATAATATTTAAAAATAATAACAAAAATATATATAGAAGCAATCAAAAACAACACAATAATAAGATAAAGTAATCTAGCAATAACAAGGACCCAAAGTAATAACAAGTAACCTCCAATATACTAAAAGTCACAGTAATTAATTAGAGGGTCGATTGGGCCTTACCGGCGTAGCTTTACGACACCAAAAATTTACCCTAGTGGTTCTAGGAAGTAACACTCGGATTTAGGAAGGTCCACGGTTGAAGAAATGGCTGAAAACAGGGTCAAAAAGCTGAAAAATCGTGAACTGGACGAACAGGGGACGGCGGCGCGTGGATTCCACGCGCAGATCCTTCTTCCGGCGCGTAGCGGCACGTCGGAGCTCTGTTGATGGTGAAACTTCGGTGTTTGGCCGTGTTCCTCTAGACGAAGGCAATGGTGGTAGTTTAGTGGCAAACGGAAGTCGGAAGAGCGAGATCTGGGCCTTCAAAGTGAAGCTGCGCAGAGGGAGTTCAGCTGAATCGTGGAGGCTGTTTTTGGTGGTTTCTGGTTGTGAAACCTTGAGATCTGGACGGATTGTTGCCTACGGTGAGAATGGAAGTGGCGGCACAGTGAACGGTCGTCAGAAAATGAGTGAACAATGGTGAAGGAGCAGCGGCTGTGGGTGGTTTTTGCAACAAGGGCGTGTTTGGGGATTGAAAAATGAGTTTGAAAAAGTAGAATGAAGCAATCAACCAGGCTCTGATGCCAAAATTGATGTAGAACAAAAAAGGATTGGAAGGGATGAGAAGTTAGGGAAGAGGAAGAAGAAGAGAGGAGGAGCAGAGAAGTAGGGAGAACAGGAGAAAAACTGATCGATAAATTCCAAATGTCAAGTCTGATTACAAACTGAAACCTTAAACTATAAATAAAGGAAAGAAATAAAATAAATAAAACAAATAAAATGAGGGGAGTGGGGAAGTGAGGTAACTACCCACGATCTAAAATACATAAATAATTAACAAAATAAACAATAATAAAAATAATTAGTTAAATTAAATCTGCATCACGTCCCTTGTGGCTTTTTTTACTTTGAACTGCCTCAAATCATGTTCAATCATTTTGCTCTTATGTTTTGAATCATATCTTTTTTTTTTATGGCTATAAATCTATTTTAACCTTATCTTCATTTCTGCTATTCTAATTTTATGCTCTTTTTTTTAAATTATTATTAGAGCCTAATATTCATACCGTATAAAACAGCTCGTCTTATATGTCTCCGATAAGCCGCAATCAATCATGAACCCAGATCCAAGAACATACCCTCACTGTTCATTGTTCAGTCAAACTTAAGACAGCTAAGGGAAATATAAATAACAAATATCGAGTGACAGACGTCACCATGGGGGGAAATGAATGTAATAGCATCACTATCCATATATCTCTATGAAATATAAGAATTGAAGCAAGCCGTAATATTTGTAAATTATTGATAAATTATGATAATCTCATTGTTATTAACACTCAGCATAATGTACGAGGCACACATCTAGCTGTCTGACAAAAAGTGATTCTGCACCATCAAACATCAAAATTGCTAAACTACGCTCTGCTTTTGATTCCCGCACGACCTTCCCCATCAGAGCACTAAATTTGCTAACAGGAGAACGAAGATTCTCACTTGAACGAACAATTATTGCCTTATGGTTGAAGATTAGCGGCTAATCAAATGACATAGTCAGACCACTCAGAAAAATGTGAAGTATGATCCATAGTGAAACTAGGAATATTGTCCAGCCTTGCAGGATTAGCCTTTCCTCCTAACAATCTAGCTGGGTTTCCAACTGCAGTAGTCATTGAAGGCACATCCTTCAGAACCATAGAACCAGCACCAATCTTAGCACCTTCACCAATCTTTATGTTGCCCAGAATGCAAGTGCTTGCACCTATAAGAACTCCATCGCCAATCTTGGGATGTCTGTCTCCAGAAGCTTTCCCAGTTCCCCCCAATGTCACATTATGCAGAATTGACACATTGTTGCCTATCACTGCAGTTTCTCCTACGACCAAACCTGTTGCGTGATCAAGCAAGATGCCTCTTCCAATTTTTGCACCTGGATGGATGTCTACAGCGAATACTTCAGAAACTCTGTTCTGAATCAGAAGTGCCAATGTTTTTCTTCCCTCAGACCACAATTGGTGAGCGATTCTGTGAGCTTGGATTGCCAGCAAGCCTTTGAAGTTCAGAAAGCAGTGGACATAGCTTATGCAGGCCGGGTCACGCTTTTTCACTGCCCTCAGATCATGCTTTACAGCTTCCACGATTTCTTCGTTTTCATTAAGGATTGAAACGAACAGATCGGTTAGGGTTCCGCTGGGAAGACAGGAACTGCTCAATTTGAGGGAGAGATGATTGGCCAGAGCAGTTTCCAGCGATTGGTGACACAGAATCGAAGCGTGGTAATAGGAAGAAAGAATCGGCTCTCGTTCTACATCTACCCTTGCTTCCTCCAGCATCTTCGCCCAGAGATCATCATCTTCTCCCTCGTGGACAAATTCCTCCATAACAGAACAATCAGACAAGGTAGCCCTACAGAATTTGGCAAAGTGGAAGGAGTGATCGGTGGCGCGTCGCATGTTTAGATTCCGAGAAAGTGAGTCGGATCCGCATATGCCAACCCTTGAAGCGCCTAAACATTCACAAGCAGCCATTGGAGTGAATCAGAGAGAATGAGTTCTTGTGGGAATCGGAAGAAGGCGAAGGGAGAATATTGAGTGGGGACTTGGAAGTGGTGTGTTCTAGAGTCCTCCTTATATATATAAGTGGGAGAGAGCAGCATCATCGAGGCAAGGCGTGCCGCGCAAGAGAGGTGCAGATTCAGTGTTCCTCTTGATTTGACTTCAAAACAACATATCTATGTCACGCATGACATCACCTTCCTTCGTGGAATACAAGATTAATCAACGCATAATTCTTTAAAGCCTCCACCGGCTGCTTGGAACCAGCTATGGACTAATGGTGTTATGGTGCTAAAGGCAGTTATGAACACCAAAAAGGGCCTCATTATTGCGAACTGAAAAGAGATCATGTGAAGATAAACATCAAGTATTTAAATTAGATAACTCAACAAATTATTTAAATTAAAGATAATAAATATATAAAAATGTCATTAATTTTTTTTTTAAAACACATGAGATATGCGGGAGAGAGAATGAGGGCAAAAAAGAAGAAAGAAAATAAGTGAAGAAAAGACATGAGGGAGACATATAATTAATTAAGGATGAAAATAAAAATAAATGATTAAATGATTAGAATATCTTCAAAGTTTTGATGCTTGTATTTTAAACCGGACTAAGTACTAATTTGTATAATTCAAATTAAGTTTTTCTTTTATTTTGAATTCTCTTTCAAAAAATTATATGCATGGGTATAAAATCTAAAACAAAAATAATATTTTAAATTTCAATTTTTTTAAAAAAATTTTTATTTAAGAACGAAGAAAATTCTTTAAAAAATGCCTCTAAAATTTTAAAATCACCAATCAAGAATAACTGCAAAAATATATAATTGTTAGTAAAATGTAGTAGACAAAATTATTTGAAAATTTGAAGTTTAAAGGTATTTTTTTGGAAGATTCTCCCTAAAAATTATTTAAAAATTTAAATTTAGATTGTTGAGACTATATTTGAACGGTACCGGTCTCATCGTAGCAATGTGTTCATAATTAAAAGAGTTAAGATACATTTAGTATCTTGAAATATTTTTTTAGGTATATCTAACATCTCAAAATATTTTGTAGTGCACTAGCACTCTGAAATATTTTTTAAGTGCATCCAACACTATGAAGTATTTTTTTTGTCTTGGTGCTGAATACACTAAAAAATACTTTTAGATACTAGATGCACCTAAAAAGAAATACTTTGAAGTGTTGGACATACCTCAAAAAATATTTCAAGGTATTGAATATATTACAAAATATTTTAAAGCACTAAATATAATTAAAAAATATTTCAAAATACTGAATGTAGCTTGATTCTAATTAAAATGAGTATTGAAAGTAGTCCCCCGGTACACTCACCACCTCTAAATATTTCGCATTGCTCCAAAGTCCAAATCCAATTAGTCCATTTGTTGGTTCTTTTTCCTTCTTCGCAATCGCTCTCTGAAAAGGACTTTATTGACCCATATCACTGATGGCGATGGGCCCACTCATGGCATTCGTGAGGCGGCAAGCTTGGGGGAAGTAAAAATTAGGGATTTTCAGTTTATGCTTTCAAGATTCCATGTAAATAAAAGAACTAAAATTAATTTATCATTCTTTATAATTTTAATTGAATTCTTATAAGTTTTTCTTTTTATTAAGTCCTTATAGGCTCATCAATTATAGATGTTCTTAACGAGAGTTAATGTATATGTCACTAAACGATATGTAAATTGTTACCAAAAAAATGAAATAAAAAGAAGTTTTGTTCAGAAAGTAAAATGATGAAACAAAATTTATTGACATAATAAAAAAAATTATTTTGCTTATAATTGACTCCTTACATATCTATATATAATATGTAATTTGGTTGATTTTGACTTTATTTGGATGCATGTCACATAATCAATTTTGTATGCTGAATGAAAACCATGTCATCAACTACTAATATTGTTTCTCTTATAAATTAATAAATTATTAAGGATCAATATTCATAATTAAAAACATTATATGGATTCAATAAAAAGGGGTAGAAACTATAGTGACAATAAGTTGAAATTATGGAGACTTTCCTGTTAAGTTTCTCCATATAAAATTATTTAACTACCTTAAGTTTGGAGTTAGGAGTTGGTGGTTGGTGATTAGACTTATAACGAGCTATTTTAGATTGGTGTTTGTAATAACTTTGTTGTTTGATGAATGAATGAATACTTCTTCTGGCAAAAAAAAAAAAAAAGACAACTAAAGAATCCATATGTATTATATGATTGGACAATTGGATAGTAAATATATACATAAGTGAAGAAGTTATTTTATTATTATAATTCACGCACTCATTATGTCTTTAATAGAGTATTCGAACTCGTAACTCTAAGTTTAAAAAAAGATTAAACAGACACAATGTTGTTAATCTCTAAGGCCTCGACAAGTAAGTGAAGAAATTATACTGCTTTGGTTTAAAATTATAGAGCATACTCTATGAAATAATATGTTTAAAAATAAGACATTTTTAGGCTTTTAAGGTGTAATAAATACTTTAAAAAAACCCTTAATAAGTATTAAAATTAAGAACTAATATTTATCATGTGAGACACCACATTAAGTTAAGGTAAACATGAAAGATTTATAGTTTTTAATGATATTAACTGATTTATTGGGATCTAAATTGATTAAAAAAATGTCTCATAGGATTTTTTAATAAAAGACTGATATTAATAAGAAAAATGCAACATTATATATACATAATTGAAGAAAAACAGTAAAAAATAAAATTAGCAAAAAGAGAAAATTAAACGAGGGATTAATAGCTACAACATCTAAAGTAGAAAATAATTTACAGACAAAAAGGATTTTGTGAATGATGATTCTAGTTGCTCCTTCTACTGAGTTACCAATCTCTGCTAGTTGTTTGATGGAAGCCAAAACCTGTAGTGATTGATCATCAGAAAAGAAGACTGGAGAATTAACAATCCAACTAAGAGAAGATTGCAAACATTATAATTGAAAGAATGATCCCCAAAGTCTATGAATCGATTGAAAGTATTAAAGAGTCTGGCCATGCAAACAAATCCTTGAATGATGGCTTTGCTTCTGGTTTTAACTTTATTTAAGATGATAGCCTAAGGAGAGAGTTGGAGTCAAAGAAGAACTTTCCATATTAAGAGAAAAAGCCATATTCGAGAATAAGATAGCATGTTTGATCTCTTCAAGCAACAGAAGGATTTGATATATATATATATATATATATTCTCATAAAGGGCAATGTTTCCCTTCCTCCAAATAATGTTAATAAGAATAATAATACCCTTAATAAGATACAGATGATTGTCCTGATACAAATTAGAAAGGCTATTCTTTAACCACATAGGAAAGTGCTGAATGCTAATGTTATCAAATTTATTGAGAAAGCATTCAAATCAAATTGCTCTGGGGAAAGGGCAAATAAAGATTAAATGATCTATAGATTCCTCTTGATGACCAAATAAGCATGGCTCAGTTGTGTTGAGGTGATGTTGTTGAAGAATATCATAGGATGGTAAAGCACTGTGTAAGAGTTTCTCAACAAGCAAGAGAAATTTAACAGGCAGAGATATAGACCACAAGAATTTCCAAAGGGTATCTTGAACACCAAAGAGGTGTCGCCTCAGACATAAAGAATATCCACTTTTAACCATGTATATTCCGGACTTATTTCCCTTCCAAGAAATTTGATAAGGGATATTTACAAAGGAAAGGGCAATGTTGGTAATAGTTAGCAACATGAGGATGGTATAAGGAACGTGCCAGTCTATGATTCCATTGAATCAGACTCCAACCAAAGGAATTATGCATTAGGAGATTAGCCACTACTTGAAGATGAGCAAGAGAGGCAGATCCTGATTGCACCGGCCACCGTAAAGGTGGTTAAGAGTATGGAAGATCCATTTTCCACTTTCCATTTAAGGTTATTAACAATGATATCAATATGTTAGTTATTCTTGACCATATTCAAGAAGAGTTGTATGGCTTCTAATTAATGACTGAAGCTTGATGATCAATGTATTTTACCTTCAAAGAGGTCGCAAGAAGAGACGGATGAGATGAAGAGATGATTCTCCAAACTTGTTTAGAAATTAAGGCTTTATTGACCAAATGAGAAGCTTGTAAGCCTAAACCACCCTCATCAATAAGCAAGAAAAGATTATCTTTTCAGAAGCAAATGAATCTTCTACACATCACCTGTGACTCTTCAGAAGAAATCTATGCAATGAGAGTCAATACGATTACATATGTTTTATAGTTTTAAATGGTGGGCATAATTTTCAAGAAGTATATCAATTCTAATTATTTATGTCCTTTGTACAATAAGCTAAACTTCTAGTAGGTTTTATCTCTTTTACACAGTTAAAAATAAACTATAATCAATGTATGTTTTACTTTCGTAATATTTTATCACTTCAAACTCACCGTTAACCTACTCATTATTCTTAAAATGCTTATGTTTGCTTTTGAAAACATTGAACTTCTAGAATTTTAAAAAAAGAAATATAAAGAAGCAATCAGTAAGTCACCAAATATAACATCCTAAAATTCTAAGTCAAGATTTAGTGATATTTAAGCTTGAATTGAAGGGGAAAAGCTAAGTGATTCACTACTACAAAAAATACTTTTAACGACGTCATTTTATGGCGGTTAAAAAGAAAAACACCATTAAAAAAAGGGCAGTGACATTTTTATAATTAAAGGGTAGTAGTGAAAAGTATTTTTTAACAATGGTTATTAATATAACTATCGTTAAAAATACTTTTCATAGTGATTATTAATATAACCGCCTTGAAAAGTGATCCTGTAGGTTTGAATAAATCCAATCGTATGTTAAGTTTCAGAGTTTTCACTGTTGTGCCGTGGTCCCTTCTTCTACCCTACCACTCAAACAGCATTTTCTAGCAAAACCTCACAGTATACCATTGTTTTTGGCCCTCTGTTCGTCATGTTTTGCCTCGTCGCCGTGTTTTGTTTTTCAAACTTGCCTCTTCTCGCATTTTACTTGTCCTCCACATCGTGACTTTCCTCTTCATTTATTCTCTTCATTTTTTCTTATTATTT